GGGCGGGCGCGGGCCCCCGGGCGGGCGCGGGCCCCCGGGCGGGCGCGGGCCCAGCGGCGGGCGCGGGCCCCCGGGCGGGCGCGGGCCCCCGGGCGGGCGCGGGCCCCCGGGCGGGCGCGGGCCCAGCGGCGGCGCAGGCGCGGCCCGTCCCCCGCGGGGAGCGCAGGCGCGGCCCAGACAGCCCCGGCTCACTGTGCTGCTGCGGGGGCGCTGCTCGGTCTGGCTAAAGGAAAGAAAAGCGTCCTGCGCCCCTCTGAGGGCTCGGGCCCAGCTTCCCCCACACCCACGGCACCGCTGCCCTCACGCCGTCTCCCTCTGGCTGCATCCCCACTCGCAAATGCAGGGAAAACCCAGTTCCCACATCACGGCGTTACCTCACGCAATAGCCAAGAGTTCGTTTTGGGACAAGTAATTTTTCTCCTAGACGTTAGTGGCCACCACAGTGTACACGCTACAGGAATGTGTCCCACATTTCATACCATTAATGGAATCATAGAACAGTTTGGCTTGAAAAGAACCTTAAAGATAACTTGCTGGAATATTTATATCTCAATTCCTTAAATAGCTCCAAGTCAAGAAAGGCACTCTGAACTTTAGTCTTACTGAGGTTATGCTGGCTGGAATGGTACTTAGCTGCAGGCTAGCTAGTTTCACAAGATCACGAATGGTTTGTGTTGGAAGGGACCCTGAAGACCATCTCCTCACAATTCCCCTGTCATGGGCAGGGACAGCTTCCCCTGGAGCAGGATGCTCAGAGCCCCATCCAGCCCGGCCTTGAACAGGATCCCTTCCAGGGATGGGGCAGCCACAGCTTCTCTGGTCAACCTCGGCCAGTACCTTACCACCCTCATAGTAAAGAATTTCTTCCCCCATCTCTAATCTGAACCTACTCCCTTTCAGTTTAAAGCCATTCCCCCTTGTCCTGTCATGCCATGGCCTTGTCAAAAGTCCCTGTCCAGCCCTCTTGGAGACCCTTTAGATAGTGGAAGGTGCTCCAAGGTCTCTGGAGCTTTCTCTTCTCCAGGCTGAACACCTCCTGCTCTCTCAGCCTCTCTCTATAGCAGAGGTGCTCCAGCTCTCTGAACATCTTCATGGTTCTCCTCTGGACACACTCCAGTAAATCCTCTGCTACAGGAATGTGATACAGGAATGTGATAGATTCTTTATTGCTGGTGCTCAGTAATAAATCTGAGCAATGTCATAGTTAATTAAATGTTTTATATAGGACATACTATTGCTACATGCCAGTGCTTCCTTGGAAAAAACAAATTTTCAGTCACTGCCCCTGCTGATTTCATAACATCCAGTGTCACCCCTTCCCATCTGGTGGTTGTGAAAAGTATTTGGAGGCTTTTTTTCCCCTTCTTATAGAGATTTCAGACACACCTTCTTCCATTTATGCAACCCTCTGCATTCAGGCTGTAGCAGGAAAACCCATCCAAGGAGGACTTACCATGTACACCTTCAGGAGAATTTAAGCCCTATTTGTATTTATTCCCATGTTCTCAGGTAAGACACAGCATACAGATAAGCCAGACTGATTTCCACCCATATGAAGTTTTACCTGGTAGACATAACTTTAAAATTAAAACCAGAAGTCTTACAAAGAATTGACTCTATTTTTATTGAGCTCATCAGAAGGTTTTAAGATTAACTGCATGTATTCATTAAACTTCTTTCCCTAAGGGCTATCCAAACAATACTGTTCATTTTAAACAGGCAAGCCATCTAGCAGAAAAACCCCATCAACCTCAAAAACCACAAATGAGAAATCCTGCAGTATGTCTTTGGAAGAAAATGTCTTGTAATCCATATGAGAGCTTGAGTATTTATATCACTACTCCTTAAACAGCTCAAAGTCCATAAATATTACTTTAAAAATGGCACTGAGAACCTCAGTCTTACTGAGGTTTGTCCTGAATGGGATGATGTTTAGCTGCAGTCTAGCAAGTTTTACAGTATCAGAGAAAGGTTTGAGTTGGAAGGGAAAAGAAATGGCCCTGTGGCTCTTTGGATGATAACCTGAAGCTAGCACAAAGACAAATGCCTTTTTTTGTACTTGATTATTTTCATGTTCATATGGATTTTTAACAAGTTGTTTGTCTAACACAGTTTTCAAGAAGCTCACAAATGTTGGAGGCATGTCAGATTACTTTGAGAATTTAAACTTGGGAAAACAACTTGTTTTAAGGAATGTAAGGCAGGGACTATCATTAACATAGATCATAATTTTGTTTTGGTAATTATTATTAAGTTTTCTAAGAGGCACTTCTGTGCATTAAAAGATGCAAGAGTATGAAACATTTATGACTGTTACTCTGTTGTACTTTTGTATCGACAAAAGAGGTAGGATGAATAGAAGCGAAGTTCCACTGAAGTGAAAACTTTCAGTCAACTCAGACTAGATTCTACTGCAGTAGCAATTAGGAATTTAAAGCTTTTTTTTACATGAGATACTACTGGCAACTGACCTGGTTTTAGTCTATAAAACCATCTGCAACTACATCCATCTAAGATTCTCAAGGACTTTATGATTTTAGCCTCACATTCTTTACAACGAATATTTTTATTCTGACCAGGTGAAGTGCTGTAGGAACCGAATGACTGGCGATGGCAAAACCACAGCTCCAAAATCCTACTCTCTCTTCTTCAACTATTTCAAGGGCCACATCCCTTGTATCAGTGCCACATTATGTACATTTTCAGAAGCATTTGTTACAAAATGCTTATTTGTGAAGGCTGCTGTGTACTGATAGGTGCATGTCAGACAACACCACCCAGCCCTGTAAGAACCTTCAAAGGTTAAAAAATCCTGCAGAGACCATTTTAAATCTAGAAATAACTTTGTCACAGAAGTACTAAGAAAATACTTTAAATTCAATTGTTATTCACTTCTTGGTTTTTTTATTAGTTTTCAGACTTACCAACAAATCTGTCTCAAACTCCAGAGCTCCATATAATTCTATTCAGATAAGAGTGACATGCCACTGAAGAGTTCTTTGGGAAAGAGATAAATCCACACAAACTGTCTCAGTGTCAAATTTTCACTCTGTACATCCATACAATCCAAAACAGCAGGTAATGGGAAACAGAGAAACCATTCTTATTAACAGGTAGTTTACTTAATTGCATAGTAGATGTTGTATATAAAGCAACTGAGATATGCTGAAGCAATATATGTTCTTAAACTCAACCAGTTTGGATTTTTACACGGAAGTATTATTTTAAAATTCTAAAGTTAAAATCCAACACCAATAATTAAATGTTAGTTTTCAAGCAATGCTGTCAGATCTGTCTTCAGTTCCTTACCCCTCTAAGAATTCTTGCTTGCAGCCACATTTGTAACCATTTTCTGGCTGGTTGCAAGTGCAAGGTAGGTGCATTCACCACCTGTAGCTCAGCTGAGACTCATAAAATGTTTCATGGTTGTACTTCCAATACTTGTAGCATTTTTATATCCTGCCACCTGTTCCTGCTCAAACCAGTTGCCAGTCAGGTAATCAAGAGATTATCATCTAATCAGAGGTTATCATGTAATCACTGACATGCCACCTCTGCCCAAGATTTACTGGTAAGATCCTTTTGATTATTCAGTTGGGAGGTATTAAGAGCTTTTATTCTTGTAGACCAAAGCTTTAAATTATTCCTTTCTCCATTTGACCCACCTGTGATTTTAATTTACAAATTAAAGCTCAGATGTTTTCTGCACTCAGTTCAAATTTATGTAAAAAAAGTCCCATCATCTAAAGGACACTGAAACCCTAAGCAAGGCAGCTCCTGGAAACCAACAGATGTTAACCATATATTAGCAGTGTAGGTAAATGGGTTGACAAATCCTTCCGTTGTTTGAAATAAAAGACATCCATCAAAAAGTATGCTAGAGGCAAATTAATGGAATAAAAGGTCCATACAGGACATGTAAATCTTCAGAGACTGCATTTGTTAGCCTACTTCAACCCTTTGTGGCAGATGTAGTGGAAGTAGCTCCTTCCAGCTGAAGGACTACAACTGGTGTACTTGTTTGAAAAACAACTTCAAATGTTAATAATAACTTTACAACTGGATTAAAGAATAACAAAAGTATCAACGAAGTCTAATCAAAGCAATTTTCTCAGTTAGCC